ACACACAGGAAGAAACTAACACCAGAAATTTCAATGTTCAAACGGACGACTTAAAGTGATGATTACTCATGACCGACCCCCACTGACAGCAGTAAACTGCTGTATACTTGGACAGGGCTCAACTTTTTGCCTTAATACAGACAACACTATTTCTCAGTCTTATTTTAGACAAACACTAAGTATGAATACAAAATGTTACATGTGTCTTCTGTTTCTGTTACTTGGTAGATACTGTAGCTATATTTATTTTATGAATGGAAAACATCACATTAGTAGATTAATATGTAACATCAGTCAATCAGTCATGGTCCACCTGAAAGCAAGAACAAGGTGCCTTTCCTTCTCAGTGCTGTTTACAAAGGAACTAAACGTTAACGGTTAACTGGTCTGATCACAGCCAAGCAGATCAGCAGCCCTGTTAGATCGTTGCTCAGGTGATCTCTGCAAACCTCCGGTTTACAGTTTAATCTTAAATCCCGGGTGCAAATCTTAAAAGGACTTTCTAACTAGAAGGCTTTGTTCCCTTGTGGTGGAGGGAACAAACCATTATTAAAAACATCAGTGCATCTAAGGTCTGCAACCCAGGAAAATTCACTTATGTCAATATGAATTTTTTCTCCACTCTGTTTGCCTTCCTGACTTACTGCTTGTTTTGTTGGTTTTGATATGTGAAGGTTTCATCTGACTAAAGCATCACATTGTGTATAAAAGGTTTTTATCTTAAAAGTACAGTAAAGTGGTGTTTAGATGTCATAGCCTCAATTATTTGACTTAGCTAATAAATTACTAATTAAGTAATTGAAATGAGCAGAGTGATGCCAAGTAAAAGTTATGTGGACACCTCCCCACACCCCATTGTGTTGCAAGGTGGGGCAATTGTTTATTCGGTTTGCTATGGAACATCCTAGATATGTCTGATGGGACTAATGTGCTAGTAGGGTAGGATGTCATCAGGGATTGTAGTTGCCATGGATGGGTGTGATTGGTTTGCAACAATGTTAATGTGAGTGGTCTTTTTAAAGTAACATAAATGCTTGGAGACAAAGTAGAACACTACAATGACTGTTTGCGGTTTTAATGTGATGGCTGACAGGTGTATTGAATTTCAGGTGTGTGTGCCTTAACACAGTCTTCCTTTTTACCTGCTGGTGGGACTGATGAAGGTGAAGGAGATGAGCTGGTTCCAGAAAGGGTCATTCTCCGATATGGACTCTGTGCCCACCAGGGCCTTGAGGCTGGGATTATCGGACAGGTCACTGACCTGACTGGTGTTGGCTCCCATCTTTGCTGGCTGTGCTCAGCCAGACTCGCTGCTCTTCACTGCTTTTTCACCAGGCATATGCCAAAACCTGGGACAAAGAAAATGCTTTAATCTTTGGAGGCACAAACAATAAACAACTGGGCTTCGAATTAACTACAGAATTAGCATGTTCATTATGGTTAATGTGAGAATGAATGAGCTTCTGCTTACATTTATACATCTCCTACACTCAGATCTAAATAGGAATAGACAGAGGCCATCCTTGTCGCTTTGGGCTTAAACAAACAAGGGCACCAGGGGTGCCAGGGATGACTGTGGTTCAATTGGATAGGTTCGATCCCTGGCTACTGCAGGCTGCATGGGGAAGACACTGAACCCAGAGTTGCATTCACTGGAGTGTAAATGTTTGATTAAAAGCACTTAGACATATAAAATGTGCTTGTATGAATATGTGTGAGTGTGTCTGTGTGTAAAGTTGTGATGACACGTGCTGTATAAAGTGCTCTCAGAGCTTAAGCACAAGAGTGCTATATACGAGTAAGAGCCAGTCTATATACACTCCTGGTTCTTCATGTTCGTGCATTACAAAAACTGTAAAACAGATGTCACCAACTCAAACACAAACTCATCCTTGAAAGCCAAAGTTCACAGCATCACAGCAGGACGACACACACTGAACCAGGACATGACTTTTGTTTTTTTCTAACGACACACCTTAGACACACAGGTGTAGTCAGCATAAGTGAAGTGGAGTACAGTATTTACAATATTTGCAGTGCTAAACCATAAAGGACAATTTATCTTTCTCCAGCAAGAGCTAAAATTCCGTTTTCATATTCATTATATTATTTCAACATTTACTTTAAATGACACTGTTTAATTTTTTTTTTTTTAAATCTACTTGCACGACGTTAGCTTGACCATACTGATTTCAAGCGCAGGAAATAGCCTGCCGCTTAGCAGTTTTCACAGTAAACAATATAAACTCAAAGTCCCACATAAGAATGAAACAGGCGCTAATAAATTTCTCATTGAGGAGTGCTTTGGTTTAGCCAGTGGTTAATAACGCATATACAGAGAGCAGCCAGCTGACCGCTCAGCTTACCTGTCATAAACGCTTCTCTCAGCTCTCCGCGGCTCTGCTGACTCCCAGGACCGTTCAGGGGCGACTACTGTTTTTTAAAGTGACCTGAAGTTTAGTCCAGTTGATTTATTAAGTGCGAATGACAAAGGAAAGGGTATGAAATTGTTTTGTAATTCAGACAGTTAAGTTTACTCTACATACTCCTTTCCTCCATGTTTTCCACGTAGCCACCCTGTGCGTAATGACGACATATGGGCGTTTACTACATCTTCTTCGTGTGTTCGTCTGGTTGGAAGCTATCAGAACTGCTGCCCTCTATTTTTTAACTTCTCTATTTTACATTTTTTTAAATAACTAGTGCATGCCCATGCTATCGCATTGTTTCGGCTGTTCGCAAACAAACAGCAAAATATATATTAATAAAATAAGATAAAAAAAAAATAAATAGGGGCAGTACATGTTGTTTATATGTTTATTTTAGGCTATTGCTAGGTGATTTTAAGCATATAGATTTCGAATTATGGGGTGTCCTGAGGCATCTTGGAAAATTGACAGCATCATGGTGAACGTGTTTGAATAAGGGGAAGCCAAGTTACACAACAGAACATATGCAGACACAGTAACAAGTCAATAATAGCATTTACTTCACTGGCTTAAATGTGGGTGATCAGTGTAGGGTATATTCCAATACTATAAAGATATTAAATGTTATTAACTATATTTTTCCTTTTTGAGCAATGTGTGACAAAGACAAACGTTTCCCAGCTGCTTCTATGTTTGGAGTAATTCTTGCACTGTACATACAACACTGTTACTGAACACTGTTACTACTGGCAGTACACACAAATGTCAGGTCTAAATTTTTAGTTTATACCTACTTTTGTGTCAAGTTGCTAACATTCTTTCATATTTATTTTAATTATTTCAAAGTTATATGAACAAAACAGCTTTCTTAACAACTCAAATATGAAGAGAACACATTATTCAAAATGAAGAAAAAGCAGCAGAAGCACTTAAGAGGTCTTGTTTATTTTATTCATTATTTATGCTTAAAGTTTAACTTACAAAATCTATGTCATTCAATACAATAAACAGCTGTATCAATTAATGATTAACAGAAAATATATCAACAAGATGGATGACAAAAATAAAAACAAGCTCCAAATAACAATTGGAAGGTTACAAAATGCAATTAATTTTAAGGTGATTTATAAGTTAATTTATAGTTTCTCTAGAAGAATTAAATATTTACATTGTTTTTGAAGCATTAAATATATTTTGAGGTGTCAGTCTGTCTTCTTATCCGTTGCTATAGTAGATCCATTAGCAGTGGCCTCGCCGTTGCTTTCAGGCTGAAAAACATGTGTGAAATTTTTTTTAAAACTTGCAATCAAATAACTATGAAACTTTTACGTTAAAAATGACACAACACAGAGACCCTTTGAGTGGCTCCTATTAGTTTCACTATCATTTTTAGATATATTCTATATAACAGAGCTGGGAAATATTTCCATAATTATTTTTAAGTTTCTTAATGAAAACATCACAAAAATTATCCATTTACTTACCTTGCAAGTCCCATTACTCTTTTCACTAACTTTTTGGTCATTAGCACTGGTCTCCTGCACTGCCTTTTTGCTCCAGAATATATTAATAATGGGTGAAATAAAAGGATAGAGATAAGGCTCCAGGAACCTCTTGTAGACCCACAAGAGGACAGGAATCACAATACAGGGAATGCACACCATAGCTGATAAAAATGGAAAAACCTACAACAGAGAAATAAAATTGTGAGTTGTAAAAAAAAAAAAAAACATAGTAAGTTTATGGTTAGTTGTTGAGATATTGCTACAAGGTTCCTGTAGAATGATTTATTAACATTTCATTAATTTATTAACATTTATACAATAGTTAAAAAACAAAAACAATCAAACAAACAAAAACGACAAAAAAAAAAAACCCCAAATCAAACCATCCGACATGCAAAAAATATATTGGTTGAAATGACAGAAATGTGTAGATAATTTGAAAAGTAACGAAATCTTTCTTTATAAATAGGTTACACAAATTTAAAAAAGAAATTTATGGCATATTTACAACAATTACTGCCTACGTTTATTTTAAACTCCTCTGGTGTATATACGTTAAAAATGACTGTACTGAGACGTTTATTATTTTGTTTGTTTTATTTTTTTTTGGCAGCTTGGGTCCTCCACACCGAGCGACCTGTCAGCCATACTGACGTTTACAAAGCTAACCCGAGCTGCCTTAGTTAACGGTGGAAGGAAGCTTTCTTTCACACGACTACACAAATTACTCTGTTCATGATTTCTGTTGTTGTGTGCTGTAAATTGTTTTTCGATAGTTTTTTAACACAGTTGACACACTATTGGTTTCATGCTCTCTAAGCTCAAATCAAACAGTGAGCTAAAGCTAGCGTCATATCACACCCGGTAGCTTATTATGAAAAACTGTCACCAAAGTTCAAACAGGAAAATAAAAAGATTTGAACTGTTACACGAGGAAGACAGAATAAAGACTCTCACCTCTCCCAATCACAAAATGATGTTGTCACGCACTACCGATGGGCAGAGTATGTTTTATGGCGAAATATCTGGAATGTTGCTGACGTACGACGTACTTTAACTCCAACTTCCGTAGAAGAAGAGCGACAGGCGGAAGTTGTTCATCATCGGGCGCCTTTCTTCAAAAACAATCACAAGAACTGCTGCATAACAGCTTTATAAGAGACACGAAGGTAGTTACAGTTTTTCTGGGGGGAATATTTTAAATACATTAATGTATAGGAGAATCTAGATTGTACAAATGTAAATTATATTACCGTTAATTTGTGTTTTACGTCGTTTTAAACTCCAAGCGAGCCACAGTGAAAAAAAAAAGCTTACAAGCTTAGTACTTCAGTAAAAGCAAAGTGACAGTTCGGTGTGTGTGTGTGTGTGTGTGTGTGTGTGTGTGTGTGTTGTAGAATCAACACAAATCACTTTGGCGCATTTACATTCTGTCCGATTTAGAATATAAATGATACGCCATTCAACAAAGTTTTACCTTCATGCGCATGTGATGTATGATTGGAGCGGCTAATTTGATGTGTTTACCTTTACAGGGACCTCACAGCGGGTATCTGTGCGCCTTTTTTCCACGCTACAATGCCTCTCTCCACTCAGTCGCAAGGTGATGACGAACAGTACGTTTTAGTGGCGAATTTGGACAATGCTCGCAATCTTTCCAACATCCTGAAAGCAATCACCTTCAAAGATCACGCCATCTTCACAGCTACAACCAATGGCCTTAAGGTCACAGTGGAGGACTCGAAATGTCTGCAGGCCAATGCCTTCATCCAGGTGTGTTTCTCTTGTATTTTGTCCGTGAACATACTTAAATGAGCAGGTATGTTTACTTTGTGTGTAATCCTATAATACTGATACCTTAGTGAAGCTGTACTCATGTCTCCCAGGCTGAGATCTTCCAAGAGTTCACCATAAGAGAAGATCTGGTGGCTTTTCAGATCAACCTCACTGTTCTCCTCGATTGCCTCAATATATTTGGTGGAACCACAACACCAGGTAAAATTCATAAAAATAAACTAATTAAAAAAAAACCACCTGAGTTGGGACTCAACATGCTTTTTATCTGTTTTTTGTGATGTTGCAGGTGTATCAACAGCCTTGCGGATGTGCTACAGGGGGTATGGGTTCCCTCTGACGTTGTTCCTGGAGGAAGGTGGTGTAGTGACCGTGTGCAAGATTAACACGCAAGAACCAGAAGAACCGATTGACTTTGAGTTCTGCAGCACTAATGTCACGAACAAGGTTAATTTTACTTTTTCTGTTATTAAAACTGGAATATTAAATATACAAAAAAAATCAGATGGGAAACAATAAACCAATGCAAATGAATCAGTTCAGAAATTACAGTTTCTCTGGTTTCCTTACTTTACAAATCCAATGGGCATAACACTATTTGCAGGTGTTAGAAAAACAGGAAACACAACTCAGTAACAACTGATGTATCCCTGGCTCTTTTGTAGGTGATCTTGCAGTCAGAGAGTTTGAAGGAAGCCTTCTCTGAACTGGACATGACTAGTGAAGTACTACAGATTACCATGTCCCCCAGCCAACCATACTTCAGGTGTGCTGTCCTTACTGTACTTTTTCTACAGTGTCGTGCTGGTTTATGATTACGTTGCTGAAGTTAAAAAAAAAAAAATCACTGTGTTTAAATGACTGTAAAGGCCTTTACACATCAAGAGTATTCGGGGGGGAAAACAGATGAAATTCAGAATTTAATACACAACATATGTAAACACTGAAATGGTAGAAATAGAGACTCTAGGTTCAGAGCAACAGGGAGAATTTTGCGGTTTCATTCAGGAGTTGAAGCTGAATCACGACCGCTTATGTATGTACATCTTTCCAGATGTCATTAGGGTAGTTTGAATTCTTGTGGGCAGAGTTAGGATCACATCTGAGGGGCCAGAGAAGTCATTTTGTAGAACTGATTGTGTTTCTGTATTGAAATTGTGTTTACTTTTGCTGCATCACCGGTTTTCAGTACCGGTGTGTGTTTTAAGCTACAAGTACACTTTTGTTACCAAATGCAGTGGTCTGATTGGCAGATCTCTTTATTCTTGTTCTGAAAATTGAAAAATATCAGAGTCCGAAAAACATTATCAACGCACAAAATCTTCTGTTTTATGCTGGATTGTATTGATCTGATTGAAGCTAACAGTAAATATAATGTATAGCTAAGCTAAAGGTAGGCACAGTTGTTGTTGTAACAAAATAGATCTTTTTCCTGTCATTCATTATCAGTGTGCTGAGGTAGTTTGCAGTCTAACTTTGTCCCCTCTGCATTATTTTTGAAAGTGCTGCTCTTTTTACCTTTCATTTATATTATTATTATTTGATTTGTTGATTTTCTAAGGCTGTCAACATTTGGGAATGCTGGAAATGCTCATTATGATTACTCCAAAGACTCGGACATGATGGAGCTGTTTAAGTGCACCGAGACACAAACGAACAGGTCAGCACACGAACACATGCGCAGATTATTTAGACTGTAGAGAACACAAACTACCCATAGGTGGACTGGGAGGACAGAAAGCACCAACACAGCGACTAAAACCAAATGTCATACACAGTAGTGAATGACATAGCAGGAAATGTGTGATCTTTTTCTCGCTGTAAAGTCAGTCACTGTGTCAAATATACCCTTGGACAACAAAGTTGATGTATATCAGATTCTCCAGCATCAGTCGGGTAATGCCAACAAACTAGACTGTAAATGATGACCTCCAGCAATGGTAGAAGTCATTTTTAATGAAACATAAGAAATGCTGGAATATATTTGTATTAAACTGTTTAGTATTTTATTTTCTTTAAATCTAGTTTGTTATATTTGATTGTAATTCTGAGCATTTTGTGGCTTATGTTTTGGAAAACTAATAATAACCAAAGGGCAGTGATAATATTTTTTATTATTAACAAACTAAGCTTTGAAAATATTGACACTCACTTGTGTGCACACACTAATAATGAGTGCCAGTGTCCTTAACCCATGTATGAACTTGGATAGGTATACACTCACCTTGTAGGCGCTCTAGAAATTCCTGGAATTGGAAATACTTCACTCAAGTAGACTCCCATGGTTTGACCTTGTGTTGTATACTTGTGTGCAAACTGTAATTGCCAGCATGGCTTCTAACCAGAGGTCTGGCCACAGGACGTTGCAGCACCTGCATGCAGGTGTTTAGGATTTTAATCATTTCCCCGGTGACTCTTCGTCCTCTTTACATCTCCTTAAAAGCAGACTTGTTATGACTTATGTAATAGAGCTTGTTGACTGGATACATTTGACTTGTAACTGAATAAAAAGCACAGAAAAATAATGACATTTACAACTGCAACTGGATATACTGACACTAATGAGTCAGCACTCCTGGATCCGGTGTTAAGTGTTTCTTGGCCTTTCTATCGTATCATGTTAAAAATCTCTGCATAGTTTCAGCGTATCCCCGTGTAATGTTTTGTTTGTATTCTGTCTGCAAACAGATACAAGGTGTCCCTCCTGAAGCCGTCCACCAAAGCCTTGGCTTTGTCCTGTAAAGTCTCCGTCAGGACAGACAACCGGGGCTTCCTCTCTCTGCAGTACCTGGTCAGGAATGACGACGGACAGATCTGCTTCGTAGAATATTACTGCTGTCCCGATGAGGAGGTGGAAGAGAACTGAGAACACCAGATTCAAATCTGACTTGTAATAAGCACCTTAACTACACACCGGAGGCCAGTTTGCCAGAGGAGGCAGGTATGGAGAAAATGCCGGACTTGTAATGGGCACAGTAGAGTAAACAGAAAATGAACTGATTCATCATTTGCCAGATTTGAGAGAAACAGATGTTGTGCTTGTGATTTGCTGCTGATGTTCTTATGCTCTCTATGATTACGCCACACGTCATAATCGTAGCTCAATGTGCTGCAGGAGTATACAGAGACATGTTCGATGTGTGTTCAAGTACTCTATTGATTACTATGGTGACTCAGCTGTTTTCAGTCATAAGTCTCACAATTTGTGAATGTTACTCCTGAATTTGAGTCTACTTGTTAAATGCAGCTCTCTTTATATTTGCATATCAGAGCTCGTCTTTTGACATATGCTTCCAGATGGCTGACAGCCTGTAAAACAGGACACATTAGACCCAGCTCACTGATCTAAAACAACTAGACAGTGATCTAAAACAACACTTATTCTACCTACTTTGAATAGGTGTGATTTCTCTTAAGCTGTGGACACACTTCCTCCAAGTCTATGCTGACACTATTCCAAAAGCCTTTTATGGAGTATACATCACAGGATACAGAGATCAAGTTGGTATTTTATTTCTATGACATAGAAAAGAGTTTTTACTCCAACTCAATAAACATTACATCAAGAAAAACTTGTTTATCAGAAAAAGAAGAAGAAAGGAGTTCATAAACTGGGGCAACAAAACATGATGCATATTTGCCCAAGGACTGTTTCTAATACTGTACTTGAGTCCTGACTGTGTGGTGACATTCCCATATTTTTACTGAATAATGGCAGCAGCATTCACTCAGCTTATTGCAGTCCATCCAGTTACCTACGTGCCATCTGCATCCTTTGTCTTTTGAAAGCTTTTTGTTTTTTCTTCACCACTTTCAACTCAGGCGCTTCCGTCTGAATGTCAGCGGGCCTTTCCTCAGCCGGTGTCAGGAAGACATCCGCTGTAACGTCACTTTCCAGGTCCTCCTTCGCAGACGTCTTCTTTCCTTTCTGCATCTCCTTTACCATCTGCTTCTCTCGCACTTTGGCTGCCGCTGCCAGTCGCATCTCTCTCCGGTGCTGCAGGAGCATACAGAGAGATGTTCGATGTAAGAACGTTAGTACATCAGGAACATTAATTGTAACTTCAGCTTTCGTGCAATGGATTTTTACCATGTTAGGAGAACGGAAGTCTGGGTTTTCATAGAGCGTAGGCCCCCCAAAGCTCCCCTGAAAGATCTTCATGAGGTTAAGAACAAAGCGAGGCCCAATCTCCACTAGAGAGCCATCTTCCTCAATGATCTGAACACAGCCAGAGGAAAATAAGAAATATTTCATTCGGAATCCGCTCAAGCCAGGGATAAAATATCAAATGAAATTTAGAAAAGTGTGGCGGAAGAGTACCTGGTAGTTTCGAAACCAAATCCTGTTGTCTGCAATGGTGAAGGTGAAAACATGGTCCACAAAAGGCTGACTCTTAGGATGGTAGCGTGGGGTGGAAAAGGTCTACAACAGAAAAACCGAATGAGTTCAGTCAGAAAATACAATTTGTTCAACTCTTCAAGGAAAAAATGTTTAAAAAAAATCACATCTGCTCCGTTCTTTACAGTAAAAACATGATATGTAATCGGACTTTAGACACAAAGTGTCAAAAACTGCAGTCACAGTTTACATCCACGCTGTCCTGGAAACGCACCTGGATGAAGAGCTCTTTCAGTAAAGCATAGTGAGGCTCCTTGTCGAATTTCTGTGGAAGAAAATAAAGAGCAAAAATAAAAACTTCAGCTCTTGCCCAGGTGTTTGTTCTTAAATTCAACTTAAACACAAAAAAAACTTTCACTATTCAGATCACAGACCGAGAATTTTGTATCAGAGTGAAGACATTGTGCAGATTTTTGTGATGCTATTTGTAGGGATGGGAATCGAGAACCGGTTTATGTAGAAAACCGATTCCCAGAAGTCCAATTCCTTGGAATTGTTAAGTTATAGAGTAACATGAAAGTAATGTAACGAGTACTGTAAGGAATTATTTTTTCCAGGGAGTAATTAAGTAATGTACTGCATTACTGCAAGAAAAGTGTTCTGTGTAACATGCACAAACATTTAACCCACAGCATGCAGTTAATTTGCATGAAGGTAATTTCTATATTGCTTCTTGGCAAATGTGGTGACTTTCAAAACGGACCCAATGACAATCGATAAGTAATCGAATCGATAAATGATATTGATCTCGGAATCGCTAAATTCTTACCAATTCCCATCCCTATTTCCTGGACTACACTAAACCATAAATATCTGATGTGGTGTTGATGAGACTCATAGTGCAACAAATTCAGAATAAAGACATACTGATTATAAACTAACAGCAAGTCTAATTTATTACTCCTGGCTTTATGACCCAGTTCTACTCACAGGATCAAACGAGAGCAGCGGCCTGGATCCTTTGAGGCAGTTTCCTGTCAGTTTGAGTTCGGCCAGTGTGTGAACTGTCAAAGAGGAGGGGCAATGCAATTATTTTTCCCAACGTATAACAAATGATTGCTGCATTTGAGGACTTTAGTGGCGAAATAACTTACTGTTCTGGACTAGGAACTTTGCAGAAGGGCCATGGGGGCTGTTTGAAATCCTACAGGACAAGAACATGATTGAACTTAGTTCAGATTGGCTCTCCTACGAGTCTGATGTACACGAGATGTAATGCCAATGAAAATCTCACCACATATAGAGGTCCTGCTTCTTCTTGGCCTCAAAATAGAGGCACTTGTTGCAGTTTTTGATCTCACAAACCTGCCAAACAAATGACTTTATTCTCCTGGATGCTTTATATATGTTATATAAGAGTAAACTAAGATGTTAAACAGCAAACTTACCTCGTTTATGACAAACAGCTTATCCTTTCTGTCCATTTTTGTGTCTAGGCACAAGATTTGTGGGTTAGTAAGGTAAGACAGATAACACAGGTGTTTGTGTGAAGCAATGCTGTAGGTGAATGCTACATGACACTAACCTGCCTTTGCATGAGGCATCATGGTCCTCAGGTCCTGCATCAGGTGTCTGGTTCTGAAGTTGATCCCTCTGGAGGAGAAAATCAGAACTCTTTCCTTGTTGGTCCATTTGCCCTGTTAAAGACAGTTTAGCTCAGAACATCGAACTAAAACCAATACCAGTTTGCAATTTCAGTCTTAAAATGCAACAAAAGCAAAGAAACAGCGTTCTTCTACTACGGTTCAGAACAGATATGGATCTGCCCGGGAGTTTTTCCCTGTTTGCAGAAGGCTGTTGGTCCATTGTTTACCTCAGCTGTCAATGCTGGGTAAGAGGGATCCACATTTATTCAATCCGGAAGAGACCGTCAAACTTTGTGGAAGTAGTCTAATACAGGTCAGTGACCTTTGACCTCCATACTGAGGTAAGTTATTGAGGATATGCTGAACCTTTCTGTTGGTAAAAGCTGCTGTTTTGATGCTTTGTGAATAAACCCTCCGATGTAAGCAAACTGCTTATTACAGCAAAACCTTTTTGGGACACTGAGTCTACTTTATAACCAAGTGCTGTTGTTGTTTAGCCAGTGACTATGAGTAACAGCAACAACATCAGGAATAAATTGGCATGTTGTTTCCATGTACAAAAGCCCTGGCTTGAGTTCAGGACATGAGGCTTGAGGTGCTTCTCTCTCCTTTGCATTTTTGTTTCTTTGATGAAGGGGACCCCTTCTCCACAACTATAAAACACAACCATAATCCTTCAAGTCTTGAGTCTGAAGACGAAGGCACGAATTTAAAGGAGCCTCATAGCTCGAGTTCTACGAGTTCTCTTCCTTTGGTGTTTTACACATGTAGCCGAGCTTTAGCCTCACATGTAAAATGCGACTAGGTGGAAATGTCCTTCCCGGCCACTGTATTTAAATAAGCTGGGGGAACATGGCCGCCTCCACAAAACATCACGAGCCATTTATGTATTTTTAATGGATTAACGATGCGTTTATTAAAACGCATCAATTTGTTGGAAGGAACGTAATAACACACTATCATATTTATGAGCACAACATTCTTTCTTTTTACTATTAATTAGCCTTAAATACCGACTGTACGTTTAAGGGGGCAGTTTGGTTTATATCTGTGTCGATATCAGATTGGGAATGTTCCGATATAACGAATTCCTCTATCTGATGCTACACACTGAATAGGTTATAGATAAGTAAGTAAAGTAGCGCGTAGTTGGTAAACTGAAGTTGGCTCACCAGCTAAAATAGTTCAGTGGACAATAACACGCTATAACGCTGACCTGAGAGATTGGCGCTGGCACCGTGATCTCATGTTCCTTCTCTCTTCCCACTTCCTCTAGGCCTTTGCCTTCATCTGGTACCAGTTTTCCTTTTTTCGGCTTGAAATCAACGGAATCCTGGCCGGCACGTTTTCTCTTGAACGGCGACATGTTTGCACGCACACGCAAGTCTCCTAAAACATATCCGAAGAAAAAATATAACATAAAACAAAAGTTAGAGTGACCTCTAGTGTCCTGGAGGTGGTACCCCCAACGTCTTTTTTGGATGGAGGCTCTAGAAGAAAGAAAGAAAGATCCCCCTTTCAACCCTGGCATTGGAAAAAAAAAATATTCATTTATTCGTTCATTTATTATGTAACTCCTGCCTGCCATAGAGACAGGAGTGGCATGATGCCAATTCCTGCCTCCACCTGCCTGACTAACCCATTCTATTTATTAAGTAGCTCCAGGATAAACCCTGGGTTCCCTGTACTAAAAAGGTAAATCAGTTACCAGGTTACATCGCCATGGTAACTCATTCTGCGAACCTTAAGTGATCGTCTGCCAAAAAGTGCTTTCTGGTATTTGCCACAAAAAGTGATTACTCTATTTTAATTGCTGTAATTGACTTGTTGGCCTATAACATGTGAAGCATGTGCCAAATGTTTCCCTTGTGATCGCTATTAAGTCATCTTGAGCCACAAACAACATTCCTGCTACAAGGTAGAAAATGAAATTAGTTTTTTTTTTACATATTTACATCAAAGACAATGGTTACCAAAAACAGAGTACTGTACCATTATTAAATTAAATGAATTAAATACAGATAAGAGGCAAACCCAGGTTGTAGTGTGAATCGGTTGATAAAATAGTGCAAGTTACAGCGCTGATGTAAACATCTGTGTTTGTTGGGAACAGTTTTGATTGTACAGTCTGACAGCTGCAGGGAGGAAGGACCTGCGGAAACGCTCCTTCATGCATCTAGGATGCAGCAATCTTTCACTGACGGAGCTCTGCAGTTCAGCAACATCTACATGCATGGGGTGGGAGACTCTGTCCATCAGAGATGTTATTTTGGCCAGAGTTCTTCTGTCTCCCACCACCTGCACTGGGTTCAGGGTGCATCCCAGAACAGAGCTGGCCTTCCTGATGAGTTTATCCAACCTCTTCCTCTCAGCTGCCGATAAACTGCTGCTCCAACATACAACACTGTAAAAAATGACAGATGCCACCACAGAGTCATAGAAAGTCTTTAAAAACGCTCCCTGTACTCCAAATGACCTCAGCCACGTCAGCAGGTAGAGTCTGCTCTGACTCTTCCTGTAAAGAGCATCAGTGTTGTGGCTCCAGTCCAGTTTATTATTCAGGTGAACACCCAGGTACCTACACGAGCCCACTATCTCAATGTCCACTCCCTGGATGTTCACTGGTGTCAGTATGGTGGTTCTGAGTCTCTGGAAGTCTACCACCAACTCCTTGGTTTTCCCAGCATTGATCAGCAGGTGGTTCTGCTGACACCAGTCCACAAAGTCCAGAGTCCACTGTCTGTACTCTGAGTCGTCCTCACCTGTGATGAGGCCGACTATGGCAGAGTCGTCAGAGAACTTCTGTAGGTGGCAGCGTGGGGAGCTGATGGAGTAGTCTGCAGTGTAGAGGTTGAAGAGCAGACCAGCGTATCAGAGACACAACTCTGTGTCCTCACATACTGTGGGCGTTCTGTGAGATAGTCCAGTATCCACTGGGACATGTGGTGGTCCACTCCCAATAGCTCCAGCTTGTCCCTCAAAAGTCGTGGCTGGATGGTGTTGTAAGCACTGAAGAAATGCTAAAACAGGTAATTTCTTTATTTAAAACATAATCCCTTTGTAAATCCTGTTGACTACACTCTGTTTACCAATACAAGCAAACATCTTACATGTAAAAAACACTTTCTGGCACAACGCCAGTATGAACTCTCCACCGACTGAAGTCTTGATCAATGTCACAATTCCTAAATGATAAAGTTGAGATACTGATAAATTTGTTAACTCGCACAATTGGCATTTTTCCCAGCTTTTCTTCCTGCCTTGAAGTCAGCTACACTTTACCAATATGTAGCTCTTTTCCCGTCTTACTGTCCAAAACACTGAAAGCACTCACAAATTCATACAGCACTTTTAACACGAAACAGTACAGTTTTTTTTCTCTCATGTCGCTGATTTATCTGAAGTAGCTGTGTTATTTTGATTCTCTGTTATGTTTTTAACAACTTCATATTTTTTTAACATCCTAGTTCATTCTTCCTTTGTAAAATCAGCTGCTTAGCTGGGGACATAATAATCAGTGTGATTGCCAAATCACCCCTTTCATGTGAACGTGCTCACACCTACAGTGGGGGAAATGTGATCCCCTGCTGAAATTGTACGTTTGCTCATTGCCAAAGAAATGAACATTCTCTCATTTTTTTTTTTTGTTTTTTGTTTTGCTAGTTTCATTTTAATAGAAAGAGGGATAATATCAACCTATAATCCAGAAAAAAGCATCTCTCCACCAGCATGGGCAAAACCAAAGAGCTGCCAAAGGATGTAAGGGACAGATTGGAGGCCTGCACAAGACTTGAATGAGCTCTAAACCATCAGCAAGAAGCTTAGAGAGAAGGTGAAAATTGTTGCAAATATTTGGAAATGGAAGAAATATAAAATAATCATTGGTCACCCTCGGTCTAGTACTCCATGAAAGATCTTCCCTCATAGGATGAAGATAATCATGAGAAAAGTAGTAGATCAGTCTAAAACCATACAGGAGGCTCTGAAGGCCACCATCACTAAGAAGACCTTTCATAACACACTATGCTGCAGTGCATTGATGTCTTGCAGCACCACCAAGGTCCCCGTGCTCAATAAGGCAAATGTTAAAGCCCATCTAGTTGCCAGTGAACATCTAAATGAAGCAGAGAAGACTTGGGAGAAAGTACTGTGGTCAAAATAAACTAAAATCATGCTATCTGGCATCAACCCAACCCTGCATGTTTGGAGCAAGAGAAATACTGAGTAACGTCCAAAGAACACTATTCCCACAGTCAAGCATGGAGGTGAAAACGTCATGCTTTCAGGCTCCTTTTCTGCTAAAAGTACAAGACAGCTTCACCACACCAAAGGTCCAATTTTCCGATTGAACATCTGTGGAAGGAGCTGAAGCTTCCAGTTGCCAAGTGGCAGCCAAGAAACCACAAGGATTTAGAGAGAAGGGCCAAAATCCCTCCTGATCTGGTTGCCAACCTGGTGACCAACTATAAGAAAGGTTTTACCGCTTTACTAGCCAAAAAGTGTTTCTTCTTCACCAAATACTATAAAAGTACATACCTTTTATGTAATGTTTGTGTGTGTGCGTGTGTGTGTGTTTTATATTTTCTTCAACTACCGTGAAGATTAGAGACTGTTTCTTTAGAGACATTTCTTTGTAAACGAGCAAACTAATTCTGCAAGGGATCGAATAATCAGGATAAGCGGTCAGCTATGTGTGACCGCTTATCCTGATCACCAATGTTAGGGTACAGGATACTGATAATGGCTGGTTATTTTTGAAATACAGTATGACAAGACGCTTATGTTGCTGCCACGGTTTGCAGACTGCCTGTACCACACCAAGTCCTCATCTTCATCTCTGCTGTCACACAACATATATCCTAACCCTTGCAGCCATGCACCCATAGGTCTTTTTTCTTTCCTTTTATTATTCCCTTATTAATGTCATCATGAGCCCTGATGTCGTTTCTTTTCTGGGCACTGATGATGACAATACCCAGTGGGATGTTTTCCTATATGAAGAAGAATAGCATTCAAGTCATTGTTACCACTTCCTAATCTGCTTAGAATTACCTGCTCCTTCCTGTTGGTGGAAACAATACTGCAGACACACAAAGGGTTGCGTGTGGAGAAACATACACAAAAGGCATTAATCAGAACAAAGCAGATTAGGAAAAAAACTAAAAATCAAAAGACCTCTGCAGTTATTACTGCATTGTCCCAAACAGAGATTTATGTAACCATGGACTAAATCCAAAACCCGCTGACACAAGCCACTGTTTTACTTGTTTTTGAACATTATATATAAGTTTTATTTTTCATCTTTGACCTCCATAAACATGAGATGAAGGCAGATTTAAAATACGTAAGGTCCTCTTTTTTATTTTTTATTGTAACAGGACTCAAGTTTAGTTCTAAGTACAGAGGTTTTCATGTGCTCACAATGACTAAGGTGGAGCACGGTGGGTGAGTGAATGATTGATTATAAAAGAATAAAACACAGAGGTGTGGCAGTTTGGGTGTCTTGTAAACTACCTTTGTTTTCAGCGAGGGACATACTAAATTGAGGTCTTTAGTAGTTATTATTTCAACAAGCATCAAGCTTTCTTGTTAGCACTAGAGGGCGCCATGAGCTCGTGAAGACAGGGATGTGGAGGAGTGAAAGATTGACTGTGACAGTAAAACACGTGTATTTCTCCCGCATTTGCTTCCCTTTATTGCCTCTTTTTAAAATCCAGGAGATAATTTAAGAAGTACAAGTGTTAAAAGTACAAAGGTGGGTAGACATAGCCTCTCTTTTCTTTTACTCTCCAGGCATTTGTGTGTCACTGGTACACGCCATTAACACTGCTTTTTGTCTTCCAGATGGCGCCCTAGGTTTATTTCTACTGAAGAGAAGTTTAAATGTCTTGAACCTGCTATGCAAAGCACTGTGAGATAACATTTGTTATGATTTGACACTAATAATTGAACTAGAATGTAAATGTAAAGTTAAAGAGTCAAACTTTGAAAATGGAACTTGAAACTACCACAGATTTTAAGTTTGGGGTTTTGTTAAATGACAGAAAATCAGGGCGCATGCACAGGATATTAAGGAAATTGAAACCAAATGTAAGGATGCACATACAAAAAAGACACTTTGTTTCATATGAAGTTTTTGATACAGACTGATTAAAAGGAAATTAGTTAACTGATGGATAAATGCATGAGAGGAAGTGTAGTGATACCTTCTGATCTGTAACCACGGAAAGTTAAAGTGATGTGCTGCCAGTTTGTGAAGACAAAACAGCAAAACTGGCAACCCCCAAGGGAAAATGTGGGGGGCGGGGGGGAGGATTAAAACAAATACCATTGTATTAGAGGGACTCCCTTGCCTAAAAGACTTATGGATAACATCACGAAGCAGCAAATCATATGCTGAAAGGCTAATCTAACCTGCAGCATTTGCTAATGTGATGAACTGAAAGGACTTGATTTGAATGCTTCACGTATTTTTCACCAGAAGTCGGATTTTAATTTTATTCATTGTATTTATTTTTAATATTAATTAACAACTTCTGAGTCTGGAAAAAAAAAATCACAGATCAAGTTTGAACTATAGAGGGCAACAAAGATCAGCCACACCTTTGAATTTACTGGTATTTGAAAGAAGCAAAGAAGAAATCTCGCGAGATTTAGCGGCTTCAGCTCAGACAGTCCCGCACACAGTGGTGTGTATTACGGTGTCAAAACGCGTTTAAAAGTAACTTCAGATATAGAAGCTGTTTGTAAGTGACAGAAACAGTAAACATGTAAGGGCTAACATCACACTACTGTCGCTACCGCTAAACAAGTCTGACTTTTTCAGAGATACAGCGGGTATGCTAGCCGGTCGCTAGCCGAATGCTACCGTTAACCTCGCCTGGGACAACGTGATCATTGATTCTGTTTATTTGATTGCTCTTAAAAATGAAGTGTCACTATGAAGTGTTGGGTGTGAAACGTGACGCGGGAGACGATGATTTGAAGAAAGCTTATCGTAAATTGGCCTTGAAGTGGCATCCTGGTGAGTGGTAGCAACCTGTCAGTATAATAGTGGTACTGAGACGTTAGCATCTTCTAGGATATACGTGTATAACATTTAGCATTGTGGGAGTAGATCTAATGTTGAGTTATCGTAGAATCTAATTTTTGATTACTTAAAAAACTGTAGTCACAATTTAAACCGTTTAGTCTTAGTTGGTTTTCGGGGAGGGTTTGCCCTTTTCAGTTTATTTGTAGTCCTGTTTAGTTAGGCTGTTTGGTCAGGGACAGCATTTAAATAGTTATCACAACATTTACAACAGGAAAAGATGTCAGTTCAGAACTGTGACATCACTGTGAGTGTTTTTCTGACATCACTGCAGTAATTCACTGCTATAGACTGTGTTGTGTTTGTCTGATTTCTCATCTCTTTATTTGTTTCTTGCACCAACATGTCACCATCATGATTTGCTGCTTCGTGATGTTATCCATAAGTCTTTTAGGCAAGGGAGTCCCTCTAATACAAAGTGTTTTGTTTTTTTTCCTTCTGAAACTTTCAGATAAAAACTTGGACAATGCAGAGGAAGCAGCAGAGCAGTTCAAGTTGATTCAGGCAGCTTATGACGTCCTGAGTGACCCACAGGAGAGAGCTTGGTTCGTACAAACACGGCAGTCCGAATAATGCGACCCTCAGATTCCAGAGCCTTGCTCATAGTCTGAGCTGTACTGGTTTGTACAGACTTGATAAATCATATTGGTGCTTCTGGCTGTTCCTGTGTTACAGGTATGACAATCACAGGGAGGCTTTGCTGAAAGGAGGGCTCAGTGGGGATTATGAAGACGACAGCATTGACCTGCTGCAGTACTTCACAGTCACATGTTACTCAGGCTACGGAGATGACGAGAAGGTATATGTGGGTTTGATCGTGTGCGCAAAGGGTGGTGTTGCCTCAAGCCATCAGATTATTTAACACAATTTAGTTTTTTTGACAAGAAAGATAAAAATGCGTATTGAAAAAAGTAGGAAATTCATTAAGGCAAGAAACATTACCGGCCAACATGATGTAATTTTTTTTCTCTGTGCTGCATCTGTTGGTGGGCGTGAAAAGAAATTGTTTTAAAGCTGTCATTATACTCTAATGCGGATATGGCATCTACTGGAGTCCATGTGGACCCTAGTGTTTACCGCTCAACAAACATCACGTCACTCTTACCCAAGCAGACCGTTGCAGACTCGTGGATATTGAAAGTATATTCAAGGCTTAAGTTTGTGAGGCTTATCAGGAGCACAAACCATGTGAGATAAACTCAATAGGATGTGCGATAACCATGGCTGTAATAAAAATGCCCTGGAACTCAAAACAAATCCCACATGAGTTGTTTGGGGCCATTTGGAAGAGAAACTCAACTCGGGAGCTGTGGCACCACTCACACCTGAGATAAGAGCTTTTCTTCAAATTCTTTAATTCTCTTCGCTTTTGCAACTTTGTACTTTTGTGTTACTCACAGCAACAACTCCACCTCATAGCATTTTGCTGCGACGTTTCAAAGAGCCGGCAAGTAAATAAACGGCAGACAGGAATGAGGTAGGTAAAAATGACTTGCGTTTCACGTATGCGCAGTACTGGAACGTAAGCGTTTTCGGCCATTTCAATGTGGACGCACAACTCTGTGAAAACGACCGAAAATGATAGTGTGGACGCCCAGCGTCTTCAGATGAAAACACAGTTTTCAAATTCATCCAGGCTAGCGTGGACGTAGCCAAGGTGTGGAGAGAGTAGTAAAGTGAATTAATAAAAGAAACCAAGCATTAAAATTTCTACCAAGGCTTTTTATTTATTTATTTATTTTTTGTCTCAATTTCCAAAATATATATTTGACAAAGAACCACTGGAGCTGAATGCAGCTGTATGTGCAGGCTTGGAGGTCACACTGTTGTCTAAAATGAAACTGATGTGTGCTTGGTCCAAATCAAGTTGGGGTTCACCATCAAAGTAGATCCTACTTGAAGACTACAAATTCGTTTTTTGGTCGTAAGCCGGCATCATGGTATCAGCTGATTGTCGTTTGTTAGAATTAAAGATCACAGCTGTAAATTTTAATGATGGAGATTTATCTGAGATCCTTTATCTTCCCATCTTCAATGTGCTTCAGTGGACTGCTCATTAATGGCTGTTGAAGGTGCCTGATGAGCGAGACTGACCCCTAGTGGAATATTGTTGCTATGACAATGAACTAGAGGGTCGGGGTAGACTCTGAAGTATATTGCTGTACCATCTCAGCCTACACAGCATGCCCCTGCCTTGACCCTGAACCCAGCTACTGCATCAGCATTCGCTGATCGTTCTGGCAGCGCTGCCGTGAGGGACTGTGGGAAAGAAAAATCTTTGTCTCTCTCAGATTTTTTCTTTTACTGTTTCCTCTCTCCCTAGGGCTTTTACACCGTTTACAGGAATCTTTTTGAGTCCATTGTTAAGGAGGAGATGGAACACAGCAAGGTGGAAGATGAGGAAGAGGAAGAGGAGTTTCCTCCCTTTGGGGACTCGCAGAGTGATTACGATACCGTAAGGCTTTAAAACACACGTCAGCAGCTGTTTCAAACAGAAAGCATTTTTTTTTTGTTTTCCTTTAGCTGCTACTTCCCGTGCGTAAAACAAACAAAGATCTGTGTTCTGCTCTTCAAGTCTTGCTTTCTCTGTGTTTGCATCACAGGTAGTGCATGTGTTTTATGGCTACTGGCAGAGCTTCTGCACTCGCAAAAACTTTGCTTGGAAGGAGGAGTACGATACGAGGCAGGCCTCCAACCGCTGGGAGAAGAGGGCCATGGAGAAGGAGAACAAAAAGACTCGAGAAAAAGCTCGAAAGGAGCGCAACGATCTGGTGCGACAGCTGGTGGCCTTTGTGCGTAAGCGCGACCGCCGCGTGCAGGCCCACAGGAAACTGGTGGAGGAGCAGAATGCCGAGAAGATTAAGAAAGTGGAGGAGCTGAGACGGCAGCAGAAGCTCAAACGGGCCAAGTGAGTAAAAGATGAGTAGCTGGGGACAGATTTGAGTTTTTGTTTTTAAAATTTCTTCCTGACACTGCTCTGTATGTCCATCCAAGACTGGCAGAGGAGTATAAGGAGCAGAGCTGGGCGGCCATGTCTGAACTCGAGAAGGAGCTGCAGCAGATAGAAGCTCAGTACGGAAAAGAGTTTGGAGATGCATCTGAAAGTGAGGAAGAGGAGCTGGAGAAGAACAGCGAAGAGGGCGGAGGTAAGGGTTACCTTCTCTCATGTCACACTTGTGTCCCCAATATATGTCATACGCCGTCGGTAACGTCACCACACAGCAACAAGTATTAATGCTCATCGCTGCAGTATTCTGCTGAACGATAGGTGTCGTTACTCAGACAAAACCTTCGTGTCAGCTCTGGTGTGGGAGCAGTTAAGTCTGATCTTTTAGAACTATAGCAACATCTGTATAATGTGTCAGTCTCTGACCTTCTGCACTGATAAATCATTACAAACCGACACAATCATGCACTCATGTCTGCAACTCAGCGGCAAGGGCACAACACGCTAGGTTACAAAAATCGAGAGGTTCACGACCGGCAGAAACTGCGGCTTGCGACAGCAGACATGACGTCAATTTGACGTCAACTTTGTCGTGCCGTGCCGAGCGGCAGCTATAAAGGGGCCCTCAGAAGGTCAGCTCCATAGCTACACAACATGCGGTCCCTCAAATATGTAAACAGTGATGACACATTTACTGGTAAACAGTAGACCAATTAAAACCTGGATTTATCCCATCTGTTTATAGGCTTTCTAACTTTCCAACCTTCAACAGCACATCAGAGACGGAGACATCCATATAAAGATGAACTGGACATGCTACTCCCATAACTGCACTTGACTAGGAGTTCTAAGTGATGTAACACAGCTACCTTAACTATGAAGGTTGAGGCGCAGTCTGCAGGGAAAAAGCTGTGTTGGTCGTGTGGGCGTAAAGTTTTCAGTAAATGCAGTGTTGGATGAACTGATGCTGGATGCAGATACTGAAAAAAATAAGTTTTTTATTATTGTTGTTGTTTTGTTTTTTGTTTGTTTTTTTACATCTGAGGCTACGTCCACACATACTCGGGTATTTTTGAAAATGCAGATTTTTCTATGCATTTGCACCTTTCGTCCACACGTAAACGGCGTTTTTGGTCACTGAAAACTGAGATTTTTAAAAACTCCGGCCAGGGTGGATATTTTTAAAAACTCCGTTTTTGCATTTACGTGTGGACGAGAAAAACGGAGAAAACACAGAAAATGCAGCGTCAAAGGTGTGCGCATTTTTTGACGTCACACTGTGCGCCACGTTATTGTTTCGGTGAAATGAATTTCTACAATACTGTTACTGTTAATTGTACTCTCTGCAGTGTTTAAATGCTTACATATACACACACAGTTACTGTCCCTCCACACATACGACTCGGTTCTGCTTCTATGCCCCAGCTTTGTTTACTTTTTCCCACCGAGGCTTCTAGACTTCTGATTGGCCAACATTTCTGCATGGTTAGGAATATATCGCCACCTGTTGCTTTGGCATGTTCCTAGCAGCGTTTTCCTTCATTTCTGCCTTTACGTGTGGACGGGATTATTTTTTTAAAACGAAAACGGAAAATCTCCGTTTTCAAAAATACCCGTGTACGTGGGGACGTAGCCTGAGACACAAGCATATATCGAGTCCATGTCTGAGAAAACAGTCACGGATTTTGCAACATACTGGAAGCATTTCCTTGTTTGCTTTATGTTTTTTATATTTTAAATGATATATGGCAAGTAGTACAATAATGAATGGTCTTCTCAAAGCTGCTTGTATCAAAAAGTAAATAATTGTAGGAATGTAAACAGTTACTGTAGCCATTGTCATTAGGTTAGTGCAGTTCAGTGACATGTAATACATCTTTTTTTTTTTTATGAGTTAGAGAAATCCAAGGCTGGGCTGTAGATCAGCGCATGGCCTCGAAAGGTCATAGAGCAAATTTTTTATGAGGACCTTTGCATTATCTGACGATATTGTATCACTTGGAATAATGTTTGTATTACGGCCGACCCTGAAGAAAGGCTAATCGTGCATTGAAACAGCGGCGCAGCTGGTGGTGAATTCAGCGGGAGTCGGTGCACCTTCCGCTGCGGCTGCATAAAACTGAAGTAGCGAGTTCACCGAATGCCGGCGAGGCTGATCGTCTGTGATCATGAGTGCTGACTCGGGGTGACTCAGTCGCAGCAGCCGTAGCCTTAAACTGTGTCTTGTTTGTTTCTGATTTATGATTAATGGCTGTGATGTGTTAATTTTTATTGGTGTGACACTGTCTGCATGCAGCTGTTGCATGTTCAGTTGAGCCCAACCAATTTATTGGCAGGCTGATATTATCAGCTGATATTCGATATTAACCATGTTATGATTATGTTAAGTTTGTCCACTAGAGGCCACTCTGCAACTTCCCTGTTTTTAGGCACGCAATTGGAATGCCACAAACACAAGAATCAGTTGACCCGAGCCCAGTAGAGCATAAAAGAGTAAATAAATAATTACTTATAAGAGATGTTTGGTGTGGCTGACAGGAAAAAAAATCGGCTGTTATATCAGAATATCAGATTTTTTAAATTGCCAATTGTGAGTTTTTCAGTTGTGCTCATTGATGGCTTTGATCGTTTACTGTCAAGTCCTGAACAGATATTCCAATAGTTGAGCATATGACAAGCATCTGAATATTAGCAGCCTTCAAGATGCCTCCTGCATGGAGAAACTAGTAGACCGTTGCAGACTCGTGGTTATTGAAAGTATATTCAAGGCTTAAGTTTGTGAGGCTTATCAGGAGCATAAACCATGTGAGATAAACTCGCATGCATTGACTTTGGCCCATTCTTCCACACAAACATCTTTAAAATCCTGAAGGCTCCGTGAGCCCCGTCTATAAATTCTGAGCTTTAGCTCTTTCCATAGATTTTTAAATTGGATTCAGGTCGGGTGGTTGGCTGGACCATTCTAGCCGCTTTATTTTCTTTCTCTGAAACCAGTTGAGTCTCCTTGGCTGTGTGTTTGGGATTATTGTCTCGCTGAAACGTCCACTCTCGTTTCATCTTCATCATCCTGCTAGATGGCAGCAGATTATTATCAAGAATGTCCCGGTACATTTTTTTCATTCATCCGTCCTTCAATTAGATGAAGCGTTCCAGTGCCATATGCTGAAAAACAGCCCCACACTGTGATGTTCCCACCTCCAAACTACACTGTTGGTATGGTGTTTTTGCGGTGATATGCAGTGCCTTTTGACTTCCAAACATGGTGTGTTATGGCATCCAAAGGGTTCAATGTTGGTCTCATCTGACCAGACTGTACTCTCCCAGTATTTGTGGCGCTTGGCTCTTGGACAACTCTTCTAAGCCTGGTCTATCTTGCAGGGAACATGGTCGGTTCATGATGACATTGTGTTCTTTCCACCTCTGGATTATAACCCCAACAGTGCTCACTGGAGCCTTCAAAACGTACTGCTATCAGTATGTTTTGTGAGAGCTCACTGGTTTTACTCATCATGAGATGTTTCTTGTTTCATTACCTTGGCAATGAAACATCTTTTTTATAAGCCATCAGTTGGGACTGAACAGCTGATATTAATTTGCACTAAGTGGCAAGATTGCTTTGTAATTGCTGATAGATTTCAGCTGCTGTTATGACTTTCCACATCTTATTGCACCTCTCTTTCTTCCCTGTGTCTTTTCTCATTATTCCACAAAACTTGAATCAAACCACCAATTATTTGCATGTGTGAATTGGATGGGTTGTTACTAACATATGGTGAAAAATTCCATGTCAATAGCACCTTTAGAAATGTATTTACTTAGAAAACTGTTGATGCATTGAATACTTTTTGCCACCACAGGCAGCTGATTCAGTGGCCAATTGGCTGTCTGTGAGCAAAGTGGGACAGCCACCATCCCATGTAGGATAAAGTTCAGGAGCCTTTGTGTGCTAGATCTCCTCCTTTTATAAAATCTCTGATAATAAGCATATCCAGTCACAACTTTCCTCAGCTTCCTGGCATGAACAGCAGGAACTGAACACTGTCTGAGTCCTGTCCTGTTCTTTGGAATAAGCTGCCTGCAAACCTGAGGTCAATCAAATCTGTGCATACACTCAGAAACAGACTGAACCACTTTTATTATCACAGGCTTGCTGTTAATAACTTACACACACTATGTGTGTGTGTGTGTGTTTTGTATTTTACTTTTTGTGTTTCCATCTTAAACTCTTGCAAGTTTGTATGTTTTTAGATTTTTGTCTTAAGCATATTGAGTTTAAATAAATGTGCTACATAAATACAATTGGTGCTGATATTATATCAACATTAATGCTGTGGTCCATATTAAATGGGAAGTCCGAAAACCCAAGTTCCCACTCAAAAATCCCTGACTTTTATAATCCAAGATGGCAGCAGCAAGTGTAGAATTTTAATCTGTACTGTGCTGTTGTGATTTGTGACTCCCTAAACGAGCCATAAAGAGAACCAACTATGTTCTTTCCATGAACGAGCTGCAGTGACATTTTTTTTTTAATGAAGGAAAACAAGAAAACAGAAGAAAGCTGCTGTCAGTGATGACTGAGAGGGTCTGCTTTGATAGGAGAATGGTAAAAAAAAAATCAAACAGAAAAAACCTCCGCCTGTTTTTCTGGCTATGTGTACAGTAAAAACCAAAGCCTCCTGTTTGCTGGCTGTCGCTCTACACTAAATGGATGTAAATGTTCAATCACAGAGGCCGAGCAGCCGGATGGAGACGAGCTGACGATTGACGATTACGATGATCTGTACTGCCCAGCGTGCGACAAATCCTTCAAGTCAGATAAAGCGTGAGTGTGAAACGTTACCTTTTCAGCACTGCACTCAAAAAGGTTGCACCAAACTTTTCTTTGTTTTATATATATCTCAGATGAGTTTGGAACAGCGTAATCACTGTTATTATCTGTGTGCATCACACTTTTTATATTTTTTTCTCCCCCTTTCTTTGCCTTCTCTTCACAGCATGAAAAACCACGAGAAGTCCAAAAAGCATCGGGAGATGGTGGCTTTGCTAAGGCAACAGCTGGAGGAGGAAGACGATGCACTTGGTTTGCATCTGGAGGGAAGTGAGAATGAAAATGAGGGGGAAGAGGAGGAAGAGGAAAAGCCAAGGCAAAAGTATATATTTAATTTTGTATTTTTTTTTTATGTCTTTTTTCCTTCTCAAAACTTGATTTTTACTGTTCTGCTACCCTGATTAGCAAGCATAATATAATCAGAAATCCATTAGGAAATTTAAAAATCAGGCAGTGTGGAGAAAATGCAAAGGAGAGGTAATACAAATATGAATGCACAAATAAGTGAAAACAATCAACTTTTAGTCCATTTAATAGCATGCTAATTTTTTAACTTCTTGGTGATGCATTGTATTAAAAAGGTTGAGTTGTTTTTATTGAGCTCTCTTTCTACTCCTGTAGGCTCTCCAAAAAACAGAAGCGGAAAAGAAAACAGCAGAAAGCGTCCCCAGTGCGTATCATCATCACCATCATCGCTTGTGTTGTTCGTGCCTGGTTTTGTGAATTGAATCTTTCTGAAGACATCTCTGCCCTCTCTTTCCAATGCCATAGCAAAGTGCTCCAGGGGAGGAAGACGAGGAAGAACCAGCACTGACCACCTGTGAGGAAGATGCCTCCAAGAAGTCAGCAGCAGACCCCACGGAGCCTGAGAAGCAGGATGATCTACCTCCCACAGAGGTCAAGAGGTCAGTTCGGTTTCTCATCTGTCTCTAGGTCTGTCTTCTGGTCAAGTATTGCTTTTGTTTTGTTGTTTTCTCTCTCTCTCTCCTTGTGAACGCAGACACACATACCGACTAGTCTCTCTGCATTGTTTTGTTTGAAAGCATTCAGCAGCTTAGATAATGCTGTAGATTCAGCTGGCTTGCTAGGTACTAGTTTTTTCTGTCTTGCAAAAACCAAAGCAAGGTCATTAAGTTGCTGGGTAGCAACAGTGAGTTGAAGCATGCTGAGAACCTGAGCTAAGATGGTATACACTGCATGGCTGTTCATTTTTGTTGTTTGTGTATTTTTTTTTTTTCACCAAAAGCTTGTATTAACGGGAGATTCGGACTGCTGCGTAAAGTCGGTTCTAGCACATCCCAAAGATTCTCTGTGAGATCTGGACATGTTTCATGTGCCAGATTAATCCTGGTGTTCTCATCTTGTAGTATAGCTGTGCCATCAGGGAAGGGAAAAATGTAATGGTGGGACAAAATGTGGTCATTCAGTTTATTGAGGTAGTCAGCTGACCTCATTGCTGAAGCTAGACCCGACCAACTGAAGCAACACCGGATCATAACACCAACCATAGACTTGTACTGTAGACGCTAGGCATGATGGGTGCATCACTTCATCCGCCTCTGGGGGTTTATGCTCCAGTGGGAAATCTGCACCCTTAACCTGACGTAGTTAGATGATGTGACCTTGGAACTACACGTTGAGTCAACACAGCCAACAACTACTCATTCCTCCTGTGCATTTCCGGCTACTTGTTTTGTTTTTGTCCCAGAAAAACAACTGACAACAACAAAGAGTGGAAAAAAGTCTCAGAATTTAATTTTTTTGATCTGCTGGCAAAACCACACGCTAATTAACACATAATGCATAAGAACAAATATAAGCGTGAATGTCAGCAACAGCGTCAGCCCTCTTATATCAGTTACTTATGTAGCCCCCTTACTCTAATGCACCAATCAATCTGACAAAGGGTAAATCTAGACTTGGACCACATGACTTTTTTCCATTGAGTCCAGTGTTAATCCTCCCTAGCAAACTGAAGCCTTTTGTGTCCTTTAGCCTCACTGATAAATGGTTTTCTTAAGGTTACACAGCTGTTCAGTCCCTGTCCCTTGAGTAAACTTCATATTATAGGTGTGGAAATGCTCTCACTTTCAGCACTACCCTTCCAGGTTTTGATATCGCACAGACAGCTATTAATTCAATTTTAGTTGTTTCAACAATCTTCTGAGTTGTTTTTACTTCTTGGCCACTCCCTTATTTCCCCAAGCCATCGCCACAGCAACGGCAAGAATTAAGAAGCTGCTAAAGCTGTTAAATGACCTGCTACCAGCCGAGACATTAATCACTGCACTAATCACCCAGAGTAAGGCTCTCACTTTTTTGGCCAGGCAGGGTATAAAATTAATACCTGTTTAACACACATATATATCTACATGGCTGAATATATGAGCTCTCGGTCTTACACGCACAATCTCTTGTTAATGTTTATGTCAAATTTTGATTAGCTGCAGATTGTTTCTAAATGGCTCGTTAACTCTGCGGTGTTGTTCCTGTTCCCGAGGTTCTGGAGTCAGATTCCTGTAGTGCTTTTATACTTACAAGACTGTCCTTAAACTTTATGCTGCGCCCAAGCACTTTATTTGATATGTGTGTGTTTGAGTGAGTGAGTGAGATAGGTGGTGTAATAGTTAACGAAGCAAGGAACTCTGAGTTCGTTTGAAAGCTGCCATGAGTACCTGTTGAGTCTATTAAAAGTGAGGGGACAGCATGTAGAGCAGGGCGATATGACCAAAAATATTTATCACGATATACATTTAAAAATGTGCGATAACGATATAACTGACGATATAATTGACACTAGACAAAATACTTTACAACTCCTCAACTTTATTAGTGCAAAAAACCCCCCAAAACATCAATTTATTTTCACTTAAACAAGCAGCTTTTTTATGTGCATTAAAGTTATATAAAAAATTAACAGTGCAAATGCAAATTCCTTGCTGACAGTTTAACCAAAAGGCATTTCCAGTGGAAATTGGCCAACAATACATAGTTTTGTGGATATGTATAATATCCACAGAACTTAAAAAGAGGTTATACACACACAATACGGTAATATTATGTTGAAGCACAGTACATATCACTCCGCGAGGCTCCTGCCTACGATAGCCGCAATGCTCCGACAATCCATCAAGCGGTGCGGCTTCGTAGCTTAGCAAAATCGTACTGAAACATTTGACAGATTTTTACAACATAAAATCATTTTGAGGTCAGTAAACACAAACAGAATTCATACATAAGGCACACGGGATTATAAGGGGCACTGTCGATTGTCAGAAAAATCAAAGGATTGATTAAGTGTGCCGTATTTTCCAAAAAACACGGTAATAACGACGTCCCGCTAGCATGCTCTACCAAAAATAGTGCTTTGTTGTGTATCTGACGGCTGAAAGACAAACCAGTTCCACACCACTGAAGTTGCAGCATTTTTACAAACCACTTCTGGTTCATCCGTTTCATTCAATGATCCACTTTCGCTCTTCTCATTCTGCGTCGCCGCCATGTGCGTAAGTAAACATAGGCACTGCGCATGCGCGTTTTACCCATATCCTATCGCGATGTTTCATTTTCCTATCGTTGCCCAAAATTACACTGGTATTACCGTGAACGGTATGATATAGCCCAGCCCTAACAGCATGTCACCATGGCCCAAAATCTTTCCAAATGATGGACAAAATGAACAGAACAATGAATTGAGTTGTGTTCCTTCAAGAGTACTTTTCTTTACAATAATGTGCATGTTGTAGCAATGTGACAGTTAGTGTTTGTTCTTTCATTCTGGGTTAAAGAAAAGGGTGAAAAGAAATGGAGAGAAAAAAATAATATAATAATATTCTCTGTCATTTGTGTTGAGGATGTGTGGGGCTCAACTTGGTGCGATAACATTTTTTATTTTTTTAAATATATCCTTGATGTGAATGTTACCTCTGCAGCACTGGGAAGACGAAGGGAAAGAAGGGAGGAGGAAAAGACAAACCAAAGAACGTCAAGCAGCACACAGGAGAACAGTTTCCTGAGGTTTGTAAAATCCAGAATTCAGATGATTTTTTAAAAATATTTCTTGTACTGTGCAAAAGTCTTGAGTCGCCCCACATTTCTTTATACTTTGCTTTCACGGAGATAGACTTTCTGAAGGTCTTTCAGAGTTTTTCTTTAGACATTTTTTCACTCATTTGCAGTCCAGTCCTTGAACCTGAACCTTCAGACATTTTTTTGTTTGTTAATGTTCTAGACAAATGTGAATCATTCCAACAAAAAAGAAAGCATGCATCTAACTCACGCAATAAAGCAGTGTTCGATTGACACTGCAGAGATAAATTGGCAAAGAATCTATTTTAAATGGCGTCCTTAGGCACTTTTGCAACAGTGTCTAAAGATGTTGCAATCTACAAAAAACGGATAACAGTTTGACAGGCAAAAAACCCTGCATTTTTGGAAACAAAATGATTCCTCAAAGAGCTGGAAATATCTCAGCATGGATTGGACTGTGTTCTTAAAAGCGTTTTAGGAAACAGGAGTAGTGGAGGATCAAAGAAGTAGCACCGTATCTCCTATCTTAAAAAATCAGCAAAGAGATGATCTGATGCATCTGAACCTTGAGTTGATTCATCTACTCTTCACTGAAGACTTTTTTCCTTATATGCTTTATTTCCTTGTATGTTTGCATTATTTCCTAATTTAAAGAAATAAAATGTGGCTCAAGACTTTTGTACAATATTGTTAATTAAATCCTAATTATTATGTGAGGAGAACTGTGCCGAGACATGCTTCACCCTGTCTCATTAGTTCAAATGCCGCACTTGTTGTTAGAAAACAATCGTCACTTTCATCACTTATCTCCATTTCCACCTCCAGAAGGAAGTGAACCTCCGTTGTGTCACTTGCAATAATGAGTTCTCCACAAGAAACAAGCTGTTTGACCATCTGAAGTCCAGCGGCCACGCTACAGCCCTCTCCGGAAATACTCCTCAGGGCTCCATGAGCAAGAGCAAGAAAGACAAGAAGAAGAACAGATAACACATCCTGACCTGGACTTTTGAACTTGAAAGAGCTTCACTCAGCAGGGACACTTAAAGGCTTAAAAAACAAAACAAACAAACCTCTAAAGAGGTCTAAAGTGGACAGCACTGGCTGACTCGTAGCTTTTTGTTTTGTTTTTTAATTACACTATAATGTTCAGTAATACAGTTGTGTCAAAAAGTGAATCGTCCAGAATGGAATGATTAAAACTTTCCGAGCAGCCTTTCATAACTTATGACAGCCTTCATACTGAAACCAGTTGAGAGAAAGAGTTTTTGATGTGTATGTGATACTTCTATCTCCAATATTAAATCTGTACATCTCCAGGAAACCTCCGTCCTTGTTTGTCTATAGTGGTATTACTAATAAAAATGATGCTTCAGATTGGTATACCACCCTGAAATCATTACCTCGATCAAGGTGGTTATGTTTTTGTTAGTGTGTCTTTTAAAATTTGGCTTACATCCACCAAGGTCTTCAAGGCTAACTTTTGACAAAAAGCCTTCTAACTCAAAAATAATGAGTCTTATAAATAGGGATGGGTATCGTTTAGGTTTTATCCGATACC